TCTCCCAAAAATCTCTCCCAAACAACCTCGTAAAGAGATTTCATTGGAAAACGAATGAATGGTTCAAAGCTACACAATCTCAAACCTTTAGGACGCATAGATAGATGTTCGATTATTTGTTATCACGAAAATATTTGTTCAACTAATTCGAAAAAAATTAAAAGATTAAACCTCCCTCGATTTATCATTGAAAGCATTGACCTCGAAAAGATGTATATTGTGGTGTTCTATAATAACTCGGACGATTGAAAAATATGCTCAAAAAATCATGTAATCTTTATCATATGGATAAACAAATGTTAGGCCATATTTGATATGGAAAGTTTTTCATGGAATTTGGAAATGAAATTCCANTTCTGAGTCCTAGGATTTGGTATGCTCGGTTAAATGTGAATGGTAAGACCTTTTCCTTTTTTTTTTGTGAATGTTGAATATTATCTCATTTATGGAGTGCATATCACAATATTAAGAATGGTTACAGGAGTTACTTTTTTGGTTTTCTTGCATTTAATAAGATGAACAGTTATTATGTACAAAAGTTCATTTCACTTGGGCCTTGTTTGATTTGGCAATTTTTCCATGGAATTTGGAAATGAAATTCCATCTTCCACCAAAAGTCATGTTTGATTGGGAAAATTTTCTTGACAATTCATTTTCCATCTTTTGTTCACACAGCTCCAATTCCATGATTTTGAGGAAAATCAATTCCCACCAATTTGGTTAGATTTGGTTTTTCAGGCTACATTTTTTTTTTTTTTTTTTTGCGCAATGGGAACAAATTTTATCCTCAATTGTAACAAATTATATCCCTTTATATATAATAAAGTCAAACAAACACCAAAAGATCCAAAATTTCAATATTTTTCAAGTGAAAAATTATGCTAATCAAACACAATTAATTAACAATTCTCAAGAAAACAATTCTAGACGGTTCAATTTCCCGAAATTCATTTTCTTTCCACTCAAATTTCACTCTTGCAATCAAAAGGATTCTTAGTTTCAATTTATATCAACTTTTATAGATAATTTATCATTCAAATTTTCATTTTTAAATAGCAAGACTACCCGAAATCTAGGAAATATCCAAAATTCACAATTGTGCCTAATTTTTCAGAATTATAATATAAAAGTCCGTAGGTACCATTTTCTTTCCCTTTCGGCTTTTCCTCAACACTTTATGGATTCGGTCTGTCTATGGGCTTGAATACCTGCCCAGCCGAGCCGACGCAGCCATCGAGATTGAGCAAAAGCTGGGCTGAAAATTCTGGTTAGTAACATAGGCCCAACTTCAGATTTTAGACAGACCCGATCCTGTCCGAAGGCTACCTAGGCAGTGGCCTTGGACCTCAAGATTTGTCGGGCCTCAAAAAATTTAAAAACCCATTAATGACATTTCTTTTTTTTAATTTGGGAAAGACAGCATAGGAAATTTGTGAAATTTCTTGGATTAAATTTCTTTGCAAGATAAAATATTAGGCTATCCTCTACTCAATAAATACAATTTTTTTTTGTAAATTATTCAGGGCGAATTTTTATTCTTCATATTTGATTACTACTTTTGAATTTTTTTTTCTACTCTTTACATGTAGGATATTTTGGATAATAAATAGTAGTCACCATCATTATATCTCACCGATTTTCCCTTTGTATTTTACTTCTTGAATGCACGAAAATTTATTCTGGGTAATGTTCCTCATTAAGAGAAATTGTGTTTGAATGGATTATGGATGATGCTAAAGAGATTGTTGCGCTTGTAAAAAGTTATTTTTATGGGGCCTCATAATAATTAATGTGGAAATTACAAAAAATCAGTTGTTTAAACTTCCTAATTCAAAATTC